GCATGACACAAGTGCACCTGCCTACATGCAAGCAATACACACATACACATTTTTTTAAATTATTAAAGTGATATATTTTGTTTTGCTATGTATATTTTATTACAATAAAAATTAGTGGGGGAAACTGGTGGCACATTATTCCTGGGAAGGGAAAATAAAAAAGGAATCTTTAAATTGTTTTTAAATTTGCATAAGCAGGGTGTTGTGGTGCACAGCTTTAATCCCAGCACATGGGAGGCAGAGGCAGTTACATCTGGGTGAGTTCAAGGTCAGCCTGGTCTACATAGTGAGTTCCAGGACAACCGGGATTACAAGGAAACCCTGTCTTAAAAAAAAAAAAAAAAATTTTTCAGGCTGGAGATGGCTCAGTGGTTAAGAGCACCAGCTGCTCTTACAGAGGACCCAGGTTCAATTCTCAGCACCCACATGGCAGCTAACAACCATCTGTAACTCCACTTCCAGGGGAATCCAATGCCTTCTTCTGACTCCAGGGGCACTACAACACAGATGCACTTACAAATATGCAGGCAATGCATTCAGACACATAAAATTATTTTTTTAAATCTTGCATAGAAAAATAGAAAAATCAGGGATACTAAATATTTGATTTTAGAGAATCTTACTTCTTTGCTGGTATGCGATGGTGGAGTACATAGAAAATATCTGTAGATATATTGATATGATTGGTTGAAAGGTGGTGAGAGGGATACAGGAAGCATGATCCCAAAGTGATAATAGTTGTTAAAGCTGAGTATCAGGGTCATTACATAGTTTGTTCTATTTTTACATATGCTTGGGATTTTCCATGATAAAGATGAAAACAGCAACAGAGAAAGTTAACCACATCAATTTCTTTTATGTGTATGAATGTATTGCCCGCATACGTCTAAGTGCCCCCGTGCCATGCAATGCCCGGAAGTCAGAAGAGGTTGGAGTCCCTGGAACTGGAGTTACAGATGATTTTTAGCTGCCATGTGGGTGCTGGGACTGGAACCTGGGTCCTCTTGCAAGGTCATCCAGTACTCTTAATCACTGAGCCATCTCTCCAGCCCCTACATCAACTTTTTAAAAGAGATCTCTGAATATGATCAGGCAATTCGTGAAAGAAGAAATACAAATAAAAAATATGGAAAAGAAAAGCAATCCCACTTTTAGAAGATAAAGCTTCATTATTTGGTGTCACAACGCCAAAATGCTGAAAGGTGAGTGACAGCTGTGATGACAAAATAAAAAAGTTCTCCTAAGCACTGGAACACTAAAGGGGCTCACATTTTCTCCAAAGCATTTGGCAATGTGAAAGGAAAGGACAAGAGGGTCGGGGCCAGACTTCCAGGCTGCCCAGGTCAGAGCCCAGCTGCACCACTTCCTGGTAGCAGAACTCACATGGATCTCTGGTTCCTAAAATGCATGCAACAGTGGCACCAGTCCTAAAAGGTTGCTGTGTTAAGTCAGTTACAATTCATAGTGAGCTTGGCCCAGGGCCAGCCACTGGACCCGGGAGATGCAGCAGGTGCTCCCAGGTTCTTGGGCTACCTGCACCCTCAGCCCCCTGGTGTCACATCTGCATCTCACACCTGAGGACCTGCACTGAGGCACACCACTGTCTGCCTGATGTCTGCAGCTTTCAGATGTTCGCCACTGGACTTCTTGTCTGTCATTGTACAAGCCAACTCCCCTAAAAAGTCCCCTCTCATATATCTATTTCTATTTCACTACCAAACCTGTATCTTACTAGCTGTTTCTCTGAAGAAACTGGACGAATACACTTGTCAATTTAAAAAATGTATTTGGAAATCAAGAGGAACAAACAGCATAGAAATGCCAAAGTAGTCAGTCACTATCTGCAAAATGGGTAGAAATATCCACTTGGAAACATTTGCTTAACAATGACTATTCAAAAACAGAGTTGTTCTCCGGGTGGTGATACAGGGCCGAGGTAGAGCATGTAAAAAGCCCAGGGTTTGAACACAAGCATTGAAAACACAGAATTATTCACACTGGTCATTATTACCAGGGTTCACACACACACACAGAGAACCACACCGTTTTCATTTGGGCTCTCCAGAGGGAGACAAAGACTTGGGTAAGGAGTAATTTATCTCAGAAGTTCTCACAGGAAACAGAAATGAAAGTGTGCAAGCTAGCTTCTGTCGATTTGACACGAACCTTAACTGAAGAATTTCCTCCATCAGATTGGCCTGTGGGCATGTCTGGGAGGTATTTTCTTGATTGTGGGGACCCAGCCCACTGTGGGCAGTGCCATTCTTAGGCAGGTGGTCCTGAGCTGCATAAGAAAGGTAAGTGAGCAAGCCAGGGGAAGCAAACCAGCAAGCAACATTCCATTCCTCCATGGTCTCCACTTCACTTCCTGCCTCCAGGTTCCTGCCTTGAAATCCTGCCCTGCCCTCCTTTAATGATGGATTGCCTGTAAATTGAAACAAAGCCTTCCCTCCCCCAAGTATCTTTCAGTCAAAAAAGCTAACTAGAACAGAGAAGAAGGCCACCAGAGGGTAGTAGTCATGGCATAGGAAGTAGAACCCAATCCCACCAGAGACTCTTTAAGAAGCTATGCAGAATAGAGCTCAGAAATGTCCCACATAAGCACAGGAAGCCTAGTGCAATCACTCACCAACTCCCATCCCACTGTCCTGCGAGTGTTAGCTCTCTTGTTCTTTAGTTGCCCCTACAAGCAGACTACACAACATTTCACAATGGTGGATGTAACCCAGAGCTGATCCCAGGTCACACGTGTGCAGGAGTCTGGCAATGGAAATGTGCAGCTCAGAGCTGTGTAAGGCCAAGGTATAATAGAAGAGACCAGGATGAGACACCATAGGCACCATGTTTCTCAAGCCTAGGAAATAGGAGAGTGTTGGCAGAGATCTAAGAGAGACATGAACACAGCCACCATTCTTGGCATACAGACCCTTCTTTCTCATCACATAGCTACTAGAATAGCCATCATACATACCAGCTGTCAATGGAAGGAGATACTCAAAGGGAATTACCTCTCTGCACAGCCCTACCCAGTGCAGTCTGGGATCTCCTGGCTCCTTTTTGTCTCTTCTTCCTTTATTTATTTATTTACTTATGCAAGTGCACCATAGGCATGCAATGCCCACAGAAGGAATGTATTCCTTGGAACTGGACTTGTAGTCCATTGTTAGCCACCATGTAGGTGCCGGGAACTGAACTCAGGTCCTCTGCAAGAGCAACTAGTGCTCTTAACTGCTGAGCCCTCTCTCC